AGCATGGGGGAATACAGCACTCTCCAGGCATCACTTAGGTGAGGGTAAAAAAGGATCAGCTGGCTTGCTCCAGACAGCGGGTAAAGGTATCATCCAGTTAGCTTGCCTCTGATAAACTGATTCTGATTTTCTGTCCCTGAAGGAGGGGAGACAACCTTGCAGCACTTTCAAAACAATTTAAATGCTTGAGGCAGTTCAGTTTCTGACCGTGCTAATAACAGCAGTGAGTCCAAATTATAATCAACTTTCAATTCTTCCTAGACTCCCTGGCTCCCTTTCATGTTTATGCAAGTTTTCATTGTAATGCTTCCTCTTTTTCCCTCTGTTAAGGAACTAACAAAGGATTTTAAAAGAAACGTTGCTGACATAGCATCGACATTCATTGAAAACGTGAAAGGGATATATCCTTTTGGCAGTATGTTGGCCTGGACCTCCCAGTGACGTACGTATATCTCACCTCTAAATCAAGATATGAGCCATCACTATAGAATTTAATTTTTCTCCCCTTTTTTTTTAAATCAACAGAAAAGGTATTTTCCCAGCTTTGCAGGAATGGTCATTTAAAGCGCCCAGGTTCAGACTCTGGAGAGCACAACAGGATCTAAGCTCTCCTGTGCTTAAAGTCTGTAGGACTTAAGCAGCTTTCTCCCACTCGGGAATCTTCCTTTCTTCTCCACATGGGCGTAACACAACCCTGGGAAGATCTGGTTAGACTGTTTCCTATGTACATGCTTGTCATAGCAGCCAATGAAATACTACAATTCATGTTGGAGTTTCTCTAAATGGCCTTCATTTTTGTGTTGTTGTTGTCTTCTGGAACAAAAAGCCAGAAGAGAATAATGAAGTGCTTCAGTGACAGGTTACACTAAATATATACAGCTGTTGGCCTGGTGCAAATAATTGCACCATATTCAGAGCTTAACTTGTATCGTGGGAGGCCTCCCTCCATTTCCTTTGCAAACCTAGGCCCACTCTCAGTTCTGCATAATTTATTGCAGTGAGGATGAGACCCGACGTGTGCGAGCTGCAATTAAGAGCAGAAGGTGTGTATCCTGACGCCACAACAGCTCCTGGCAGCAGCCAGGCTCTTCCCTGGGGATGCCCGCTGCACGGACACTCAGTCTCTCGTTACAGGAGGTCATTTAATCTCTAAGGGTGAGCGGTGTGGTCAGTCTTTTCCTTAACCATCTTCTGTACAATGACGCAGTGCCGGGACCTGGAAAACCGTCACCATGAAAAGCTGCTAGAGATCTCCATCACCACGCTGGAGAAATCAGCCAAGAATGAGCTTGATGAGGATTTACCAGCTGATGTTCGAATGGTGAGGGCACCAAGAAATTCATCTCTGCTAGGGAGTTGCCAAGAAGAGGAGGCCACAGCCTCTTCTCAGCAGGGACGGGGTTTCCAGGAGGCTCAGTACAGCTCGAGCCATGCCTAAACCAGAGCATAACCTCCTCCCAAGAGGCCCCAGCCACTTGGCTGAACTGCGGTGCCACCGGACATCTCCGCTGGCTAGGACAGGGAAAAACTGCACTGCAGCTTTCCCTGGGTGTTGCCAGAGCTGGTGGCAGCAGCCCCGGAGAGGTGCTGAGCAAGTCTCTCTCCTACCTCCAGCACAACTCGCTCCTCTGGCTGATTTCCAGACAGCCCCAACCCAGCAGACACTCCGGCAGCATCTTTGCTGCACTCGCAGCTGGTGTTGTTCAGATTCTCCCTGCTCCCTCAGGAGAATCCGAACACCGCTCTGTCTTCCTTGCACCGGTGATTTCAAAAGCCCTCCCTAGAGCTCCCCAACCCGCGAGCTGATCTGGGCGCAGGACGTGGCGTTTCACGTGGGGCCTTCCACTGAGCTCTCAGTCTTGCTGCGACATCAAAGATCCCAGGAGCCTGTCAGAAAGCACATGGATCATTGCAGTGCTCCAGTCAGCAACGCTGCTGACCTTTTTGCCTCCGTTATTCCTTCATTTTGTGGCTAAACGACTCGAGCTTTGCATTCGCCGTGGTTTTGCTCTGTCCAGGTTATCCCAGCCCCCCCATTACTCCAGGTAATCAAGAGCTGACAGACACAAAACAGACCCCTCGGCCCCCCTGGGGCAGCTCCCTGCTTTATGGCCTGTGCAGATGGCTGCGGTTACGCACTGCTGCTGTGCACCCATTTTGCTTCGCTGCCATCCATTTCCACAGAGAAGCAATCTTCATTTGTTCAACAGCTGCACTTGGCTGCAGGAGGAGAGTCATTACGGTTTAGCGAAGCCCCCCTTTATTCAGAGCCACGAGGGAAGTCACTGCTTCCATTAGAAGCTGGGACTCTCCAAAAATGAAGATTTACAGCCAGTGCCACTAGTGCAAGAGACCCTTCTAAGCACGATTTTCCACTTCCCGCACCTGCTGGGCCAGGCGTGCTGGAGCAGATGCAGCCTTGCTCCGACACCAGCTGCCCGCGGGGGCCTGCCCTGTGCTGCCAGGC